CGAGACAGTGCCCGTTGAGTCAGATCTTTTGCTTTTATAAATCATGTTCAATCATCAATTTCGATATCATCCATTTTGCGGATACGTATTACGTCAAACATGTTTCCCGCACGCGACACACCATATATCATACCGTCACGTCATTGATACCAATCACCACGCCCATTAAATAACCATTTATTCGGTGTTTTTAAAAAAAAAATACGTCGGCTGAAAATAGAAAAGATAATGTCGATTTATGTTTTTGATGAGCGATTTTAGATCAATGGTGCAGATGCTACATTCAATAAATAAGCAAAAACGGATTTAGGTGTGACAACTTGGATCAATATTTCACGTTTTGAGATTGATGGTAGTGAATTTATGTAGTCAGAGATTACACCGGTCGCTCCTGTTGTTACCACGAGAGCATGCAGGTTGTGGTAGAAATTCAAAGTAAAATGGCGAACAGTGGTATAGGAACCATCTCCCTAATAACATCATGCATAGCGGCTAAAGCGAGTGTGCGGGCTTTAATATTCTTTCGGGGGATACTGGAAGTTTGGTCAGCCTCGCTTTCTAATCTCTCTTGCTTCGTCCATGGACTAGCCATTTGACTTCTCGCCTGTGAATCCGACAAAGACAAGTTGCTAATGTCAGTTTAACTACTAAATTATTTTATTGTGAGATATCTTTAATTTCGTTGGCATATTAAAAAGGAAACACTTCCACGCCAAAATGGTTTTAAACAGTTTAATAACAGTTAAGCTAACCTGGCTGTTATACGGAATGCTTGAGTTATAAAACCTGAAAGCTATTTACTCAAATAGGGGAAATTGATATGCAATGTAATTCTATTTTCCCCCAAAAATAGCATAACCCGCTTTCAATTGTTTCTTCCAATTGTTAAACCTAATCCAGTTTTTCAAATTGAAATAATGATGTATGGCTTTCGCTGACAACAGTTTTTTCCGGGTCTACTGTTCAAAGCGAATATTTGCTACGTTGGTGAACGTCAAACATGTTACTCACTTGTTGTCCAGTTCAGAGTTAGAGTTTGCGCCTTTGATGAATGCCAAACTTGTTTGTTACCTGATGCCCAGTTCGGGTGAAGACAAACGCTAAAATAAAGTAAAAGTATCTGAAGTGCGGTGCTAGTAAATAGGCCTATATTAAGAATGTTGCTGGATTATTATCTATGTATTCTAGATACCTTAATAATCTCTTCAACTGCAGGAGAATATTTGTTTTGTATTGCTCCTTAGAATAGCTTTGCTCAATCCATTGGGCAATATCGTACATGTACAACTGGTTTAGTTGAAGGTGAAGGTATCAGTTTATTAAGAATATCTAATCACTTTTATTTAAATAGAAATGTATAGGGAATATAATCTCATAACCTCTTAAAAACAATGGCGTCATACATAAGATGAGTGGGTTTTTTTCAATTGCGTTATTTAATTGTGACGTCATATAATGGTATTCTCCTAGGACTCTAGTTCGTGTCTAGATAGAATACCATGTTGCCGTCACATCAAGACGAACGTATTAACGTAGCACAACGACTACTTAATAGCACAGTCGTAAATCGGTATAAATTTATATATAACTATAGCACAGTTTATCATGTGATATGACCAACCAACTCCAACGAGAGACATACAAATGTACTAGATTGTAACATTGTAATTGCTGACACGTACCTCGCGTTGTTTTGAAAGGCTAGAATATAGGGATTGATAAGGTGCATTGGACGAGTTTATGATGTACACACTGTAACAACAAAACGCATTTTAAATCATTTGGCATAAGAAAATTAAATTGCTTATATCAGATTCTTGGAAATATTTTAAAATGTTGAAATATGTGATATTCATCACATTATTAGAAAGATTAGTTTGACCTAATTTTCTTTGCTCACCATTGTTAGATGGTTGACAATTCAAACCGCCCTTCGTCCGGAGTCCTGGACAGTTATAAAGTGGTGTTTGATATCGTTATTTTCTCAAGACGCGCTGGACGGAGCTTTCTATTATTATTGCATTTATTACTGTTGTTTTTCTTTTTCTATAGTTGTCATCTTTCTTTTTTAGGCTGATCGGTTGCCGCCAGGCAGCCATCTTTATTTTTTAAGGTTTTAAGTTTGTAATCGCCAGTTCTCAAGAAGTACTGGACTGACCTGTCTCAAAGTTCATACGTAGATTGCAATATTGGTTTGTAGTTGTACATGTTTCGTTTTGTGACTGATCAATAAACCGATCTTTGTATATGACAGTTCAAGTTTGTTATCATAATTTTACTAGATGAGCTTGACAAATCTTTCTTAAATTCCATAAATAAGTTCACAAATTTTGGTTGGAATTGTGCATGTTTCATTTTGAGACTGATTGTAAAAGCAAAGCTGGCCGGCAGGTAGCCGTCTCGGATTTTAACAGACAGATTTTTATGGCCATATCCCAAGAAGTCATGATCATTGACAGCTCTTTTGGAATTTCATTTATAGATTCTCCTTGCAAAATAAGTTCTTTCTGTTCTCAATTTCAGAGTTTCATATCGATTGATCAGAAAAAAAGGATGGCTGCCAGAAAGAAAGAAAAAATGTTTGATACTTTGTTCTTTTAGTAAATTAATAAAATGACGACACTACCAGATCAAGTTATATTCAAACGTAACCACAAGGTGTGTTTACTCCTGTTGACAAGAATTCAATCCGACTGACAGGAGAAACCGAGATCAAACCTATATAGAACTAATGAAGACAGTACGATAGTGATCAACAAGATCCCTCTTGGAGCACGTGCTTTTCAATATGCTTTTAGATATTCCGTCCAAGTGTTTCTCGTCTCAAAAGTCAATTAAACGGGTACATGTATTAAGGTATGCAATGAAGATTTGATAAAACCCTTTTTCCATATATCAAATCTGATCATTTGTCAAGCAAATCTCAATCTGTAACCGTTGAAAGCTACAATATCAGGACTTTTTTGACTATTCTACAAAATCATTATAATTACGGATAATGAGAATTACATGATTTAGAATCATATATTTCTGAAGAATTATCAAATAGAAAAATAACTGTTCTATTTCATTCATTAGAGGTGAATCATAAGTATAATGATGTGTTATCACCAAGATGTCACGTGGTTTACTAAGGCAATCGTGATGTGTATGATTGATGATTGAAATTTATTGTCAGACTACTTTTAAGTGATGTATTGTATCAGAGACATTACAAAAGGAAGTAAGATTAGCGAAACTCACCTGATTATGTTGGACGATGGGGAAAATCTGTAAATAAATGTGCTGATAAAACAGTTTTATTGCAGTCTGTACGAATACGTTTATTCTATAACCAGTGTTCACAACAGGACCGAGCCTCTTATCGATGCATGGACAACTTCATATAACTCATCATCCTTGTTTGGTTGGTGTTTAGGTTCATTTATAAACGAACATCTATTTCCTTTTCTCATTGACCGACCCAGACCCACTGTATGTAAGCAGTGATTAAGTAGGTCTATCAATGCTTCTGTTTCCTTGTTAACGAATATATTCTTGTAAATAATGGTTTACAAAAAATAGGCTTTTGGTAAAGGTTGACTAGACTTGGAAAAAGTCCGGTCCTGACTGTGCCGCATCAGGAATGGCACATAGACCCATCATCTTGGTTTTAAGTCTCCCATGGGATTTAATGGCGCTTTTATTTCCAGGCAGTAAAACTAAAGTTTCCAATTTAATCCGAAGTTTTTGTCCAATTACTCGGAACAGCCATCAAAAAGCCTTCGTTGTTTCTGCATAAGGTGAATCTCTGTGGAACATTCTTGGAATATAAAACAGCCTACTGTGAGCTCTGTGGTGTCATTGAATTTGTTATAATATAAAACACGACACATGAATTGACCAGACACACAGATGTAGTAATGATGTTAATCAATCGAATAATCTAAAACAACTTAAAATGAGAGACTGTAATAAAATGTAAACAAAGTAGATTTATGTATTGTTCAACACATCAACTCCCGAGACCAGAAGTTGGTTCGACAATCATCCATAACACTTTCTTTGTCACTTCTGAAGGTTATCTTTGCTATTGTATAGAGATTTATGTGACAGAATTATTTCAACAGAAATTGGCTGTAACAAGAATAGAACTGGTACATGTGTAATTCAAATATCTTTAAAGACCTTTGATGCCTGCCAGCTGAAACAAAAACAAAAGTACCACATCTTAAATACACTGGAACAAAATCCAAACCTATGAAAATACATAATGACAAAAACTGGAATGGAGGAGTGATTAGAAAGAGAAGTTAACAAAAGCTTTGAAATATGTCTCTACTATTACTGGGCTAGAACAAAAATATACATATGTAAATCTTTTTTAATCATAGTCCGGCAGTGATCTTTAAATTTTAACTAATTAATTATGGAATATAGAGGTTACAAACGGATGGCGAGATATGATATAAGGAGCTTTCGTGCTTGGGATGCGTTAGATAGCATAATGGATCCTTACGATACAGGAAGCCATGATACATTTTACTGATGGAAACCGTAATACTTGGTATAAAGCCGATTCATGACAGAAGGCGAGTGCGAAGGTGACAAGTATCCCGTTGTACTAGCCCTATGTAAGGCTGCACTCACTTCTAACGAGAGTTACGTCACGTTTTTACAATTATGTACTATTGCTATGTTAAACATGATGTGATATAAACCTTTAAGGGCGGTTTTAGTGACGTCAACACATAATAACGTAAACATTATAAGAATCGAATGAAACTAGAGTTTACGGTATATCATCCCATATACCAAAGTCTATCAATACCAACGTAAAAGAATAAATAAGCCGCAAAATATGGATATCAACAATATTAACAACTAAAATAACATTAAATTTCATTGCCACAAATTTGTGTTTTATTTCTCGGTGCTTTTCATCATTGCTGAAATTTAATTATTAGCTCAATCATTGTAAAAATTAAAACAGAATTCTAAACTGTCTTTTTTAATTTCAGCCGAGGACCAAAATATCAACAAGATGTATCCACCATGGGCAGACCGTAGTCTCGTCCAACGAGACTTTCGTGACGTATGAACCCCGTGTTTGCTGTGAGGGCACGAAATTTAACGTTCTCATCAACAAGAATGACGTGGCACTCACGATCAAATGTATGATGCGGAGGTGACGTACATGCGCATTCATAGGATACTGCTCATACGACAATGATTTGAGGATACGACATATTTCCACCTTCAAAATCAAGTCAATCGTGTAAAGTCGATATGAGAAAGGCAGACCATGCTGACACGTCTTAAGCGTTGACACAATCTGTTGATGTCCTTTTGTTTAAGTCTAAGATTTCTAAATATGTCTATTGCTACAATTGTTGTGTGATGAATCCGTCGACATCACCGTGTCTAGGAATATTTACAGTATCCAAACAACGTCAGGTTTTCTTTCTTGTACAACCGTAAAAACGTTTATTGCCACCAGGCTTAAAATTTATTAACCTTACCAAGCATCATATTGAAGAACAAACTATGCCATGGACAACTTCAGGGCATACCTCATTTTGGAAACTTCAGACAGACGTGTAACGGTATCACCGATATAAATAACTGGACATCGGGTTCCACAGTGTGTTTCAGCACGGCAAAACTACAGTCATTGGTGTGATAAAATGTTATCTGTGCATGCTATGAGATCCATCTACTAAGAATAGAACCCCAAACGATTGAACTACTTTATCATGCTATATCAACAGGCAGTATTGAGTATACAAATTCTGACTGTTTTCTTCCCAGCATTATTTGTGTCTGATTACGATATTTCATCCACTGCCACTTTTTTCAATGCTTTGATTCCTTAAATACTCAACGCCCGAAGGCAAATTCACTTGAATTTAATTTGCCTACCTTTGGAAAAGGATTACGAACCGATCGACGGCGGAGACATCAGCGGCGGTAGGTGACGTTGCATTATTGACTCTATGGGTCTGGAGTATTACAATAAATCCTCTCCAATCAATTAAGTGTCAGCGCCCCCTATTCGTCCGGACGTTACGACGGGGTGGTCTGGGCCCCCATCGACCACGTGGCGAGGATATATCGATACAATTATACAACACAGACACTTTGGGTGACATCCCAAGGCCAGATCTGCTCCGCGCCGGTCTCGTCCCCAGTAGTAGTGTTTCATTCAAGGGTCAGCAGTAGACAAACATTGGCCATTTTGTCAATATCGACAAAGGATTATACCAGTTTCTTATTGGTGCTTCCTGCTCTGTGGGTTCCTAAATGTGGAAATTTCAGTAATTTATTTCTTTATAGGACAATTTACCTAAATGATTTTATCTCGGATCAAATAATGTAATTTTGTTGTCCTCTAGCTCGACATTAATGTGACTCTTGCTATACAGGACTTCACTATAAAACACGGTCATTGTTTTATAAACCTAATTTAGGCTTAAGTCAACCCCTACCACAATAAAGAGGCACGTTCATACATAACGGTTTAAACCGGAATGCTTCGCCGGATATTGTCCTCGTCTTTCTTAGGAGTAACGAATGAAGTACTCCGAACGAGGACAGATTGTACTCCTCAAAATCAATAGCATATAGTGATATACAAATAAAATGTGTGACAATAACAATTCAACGACTTCCAAATGTCTTTGACTTCAATACACCAATGGCGGCTTCTCCTTATCACACCAGATCTGTATTGCCGCTCTGTGTTGTTACTGTGTGTCACTGATAACACTAACACATTGGTGAACAAAGAACATAGGTTTATGGAACCTGTTCACAATTTTAAGACACTGCAGAAGCAATATGATTTTTATCGCCTCCAATATTTATCGGAAAGTACAAGACAATGCAATTAGGGGAACGTTAATCTCGTTTTACTTCCTATCCATACATTTCGGTAACACTATCTATCGGACAGATATTGTCCTGTATTTTTATTTAGCTTTTGACGTTAAAAGGACAAAGTTCATACCTATATGAATAATCAATCATGACACAATTGTTATGGGAGAACCGAACAAGCTAGGGACTCGCAGGCCAAAAGTATTTCAACCGAAGTGACAGCGAAGCAACAAAGTAAACATCATTCACCTGAGTTAGTAAACATTAGAACAAAAGAACAACTGAGACGTGAAATGAATTGAATTGCTATGACTGATATGATAAAAAACGATGTTTTCCCGGGGGAGGGGACAGCCTATTTGGAACAACATTTTGGAATCGATCTTTTCGAACGTTAAGTTAGTTGTGCTTTAACAATTTCGAAAACACAATTCAAATGGAGATCATTCATGGATTATTCCAATGTCGAAATGTTGAATATTTTCCAAAGATTTAAAAAAAATCCATTTAAGGCATGGTCTTCACTGTGACATTTTCTATTAATTCCTGTCCGCCTCCATGGGAAGATTGAGCCTCCTGTGGTGTTCCAGTGGACTTTCTACGGGATCTCGTTATACCGTCGCTGCCTAACGGGGACACGCTGTGACGACTTCGCCAATAGGGACTTCATTTGAAATATCTCTGTAATGAATGGTTCTTAGTGAATCTTGTTTAAATCTCTAAAATCGCGTTAACGTGTAATTGCATTGCTTTTGTGGGTTAATGCTATCTTTTAAGAAAATGGTATTTCCCGAATTTGATTATTTTTGGCTGAGGATACTTCTTGCCAAACCAGCTATCTAAATAGAAATATCATTATGGCATTACGAAAGACAAGAAAAAGAAAATCTCGACATCTTAAATTCCGGAAAGCACCCATTTTAAATCCCATGATCATCTTTTCTCGAGGTGAAAGGCTTTCTTGCCAGAATATTATTCTTACCAAATTTCCAATTGTTTGCTTCCACTTACACTTAGGTCTAAATTACAGCACTATATTGGTTGCAGTAATTTAAACAACAAACAAAAATTGATAACGGTCATAATTTAACACTATGGTTTATATTATATACTTCAGTTAATACCTCCGCTAAAAACTGCGTTAGATCGTTGGTAACCTAAATACTATTGTATGACCTGACGGAAGTCACATTTGACATACAAAACCAGAGGACGTAGATTTACCTCTGTTTTTTTGGTTTACGTGATGTCGTTACCCTAGTTTTGATGTCTGTTCAGTTCTGTATGGGTTTATTATATCGATCTTTAGCTGAGATTTTGACGTTGTTGGACAATGGATTTACTATGATATACATAAAACATGATTCATTTCTAGTTTACTATTAAACAGTATTCCATTGTCATCATTCAGATGAGAGGTTCCAGTGGTACAATAGTAACACCATTCGAGTTGATTTCAAATTAGGACCCGTTCCAATCTCCCCACAATGTAATGGTCACGACTGAGTGATTCGCTGCTATGTATAAACGTGCTGTGTTACATTTATAAAACGTAGAACAACAAAAAAGATATATAACATCAAACTTAAAAAGCACACGAAGATAGAAAATAAAAACAACACTTAGATGCACGACAGGAAATGAAAACCATGAACAACGAATTACTGACGTCAATTCCAAGCTTTTAAATTTTGTCGATTGAGAAGTTATTACATATACCTAATATTTTGTGCCAAAATACTAATAAACTGTTGAGGTATATATATACTTTCTGGTTTCCTGTAAATGTACCTGATCGAGAGGAATTAGAAAATTTAACTTATACTTTAACTGTTTTATTTTACCGATATGAGCCGCACAGACATTGATTTCTATTTTGATTTAAAAGCCGCATATACCTTGCTCTAATGTCTGCACAGATGTCTCGATCAATTCAATTTCAATTTCAATTTCAATCAATTTTATTGTCAAAGGACAAATGGATTGGGCAGCAGGCAAAGCCTATTTAAGCCCTCTCGATCGATTGATAAGCATACTCAGGGTCAAGGTCGAATACAATCCCCGCCAACTTCTCATCAGATTAGTTCGGCTATTTATATGAATGAAACAAAATCAACACACTCTTCTTTTCCTTCGGTAGGTTTCGTAACTTGATCGGAAATGGCCGAGGCTATCAGGTGATGATTGCATTCGAACTTAACCCATAGGGTTGTTTCTTTATGGAGACAGCAGTTCAAACGATGATCAAGAAGAAGATAATACTCTAAATAGGGTTTTAAAACATGCTAGTTTGCCCTGAAGAAACTATCGGACGATTTGTGTGGGCGCAATGAAACAATTTAAGTCTAAGCCTTCAGGACATAGTTTTTGGTTCCCCTCGAACGAATAGTTGCTATGAACCATATATCCCTACTTTAACCGTTTGGTTACGATCATAATTGAAAATAATCTTCAGTAACAGATTAAATTTGAGTTTCATACTGTTGTAGTCATCAAAACAACATTTACATCAGTTTTACCTGTGTATTAACTGGAAAATCAACAATAAACAAAACTACTGGTCAATGAAAACAACATTTCAACACTTACGTTACATTATACGTTTGAAAGGTTGTTGATTTTGGAACAATCTGGTAATATCTGATCGCTGATAATATTGCCCATGAAAAAAATACACCTTGATGATTATATATAAGTTTGGCTCATAATAACAGTTGTATTACAACGTAAGCTTAACAGTTGAACGCTTTTATTATGTATCATGTAATACTGCAAAACCGCTGAATTTGTTTTCTGTAACATTCAAGTTACACTCGATTTGATCTGTACCAATCTATACTGCTTTTGTTATATAATTATGAAATACTGCTTAATTTGTATTCCGTAATACTGAACTAACCCTATTTGTTATATGATAATGAAATACCGCTTAATTTGTATTCCGTTATACTGAAATAGCACTATATATTATGTACTAGTGAAATACTGCTTAATTTGTATACCGTAATACTGAACTAACACTTTTTGTTATATAATTATGAAATACCGCTTAATTTGTATTCCGTTATACTGAAGTAGCACTATATATTCTGTACTAGTAAAATGCTGCTTAATTTGTATTCCGTTATACTGAAGTTACCATATTTGTTATACAATAAAGAAATACCGCTTAATTTGTATTCCGTTATACTGAAGTAGCACTATATATTCTATACTAGTGAAATTCTGCTTAATTTGTATTCCGTTATACTGAAGTTACCATATTTGTTATACAATAATGAAATACCGCTTAATTTGTATTCCGTTATACTGAAGTAGCACTATTTATTCTGTACTAGTGAAATACTGCTTAATTTGTATTCCGTTATACTGAAGTAGTACTATTTATTCTGTAATAGTGAAATACCGCTTAATGTGCTTTATAATAATGAAATATCGCTTATTGTGTATTTTTACATGGTTTCTAAACATTTTCATTATCACGCTTCAGCCTTTTAATCCTCTATGAGTTAAGTCATAACTACTCGTCGAACAAAACAGATATGGAGTGTTCAAATTCATCCCAGACAATGGATACTTCCCTTGTCATCGATAACGCTTCCCTTTTATGTAAGCCGTAAACACTTCTGAGTCCTTGAGTTAGGGTCACAAACCGGCTTTTAAGTCTAACCATTGTCACTGTTTCACTGCCAGGCAACACATATCGGTTACAATAAATATCAGGGACAACGTACATGCTGTGGAAGTTGATAGTACCATTACATCATAAATGACTTAATTCAAAGACGAACGCTTCAGCTAACACTTAAATACAATTTCATTCACATTTTATTTCAAGCATTAACAAAATCAGCTGAAGGGGAATATAACAAGTACATACAAAATGAAAACCTACACAATACAATCTACGTGGCAAATTATTACATGAAACAAAAGAGGCACTTCGTGGCAGGACATACGCCAGGGAGAGGACGGGGTGTTATCCTCTCGTTTATGTGGTGCAGGAGAACCGTTACACTCCAAAGGGAAATATTATCAGTTCCGTTGGTAAATAACGTAGGGTATACTTTTTTAACCGTTACTCCTGGCATCCCGGCAGTAAATATATTCGCCCGCGCAGTGAATATTGTATATCGTGGGTATCGAAGAGTAATAACGATCACTGTTAGAGAGTGTAAACCTTCAACACAAAAGGGAGAGTCTAGTAAATTGTCGGAAGTTGATCCCTAGGTTTGCCATATATAATCGAATATGCTTGAATGAACGAGAAACAGTGATTTTTCTCACATATTTTGGTTTTCTTTGGAGTTAACAGGTTTGATATTTAAAATCGAAAAAACTTTTTACACAGATAACATTAGCTTACAATATTTGCAAGGAGTTGATATCCCCCTCTACTTCAAGAATTCAGAGACAGATGCTTTCCAGACAGGTAATATGAACCATGTGAACAATATGAAACCTATACAACTGATCACCTTTACATAGTACTAAGATCTTCCATTTCTAGAACATTTTTTGGCTATGACCAATGTGATATGAACGATCTAAATACTTTTCCATTGTGAGTGTAAGATTTACAATTCGCTGCCTCAGAAGACATTTCCTGTGTTATCTGAAAAAAATGACTTCGAATAAAAAAATAAAAAATCGCCGATACCGGCTGGTATTCACCATGATTATATTGGTGACGTCAGAGTGTATGGGGGTGTGGTGTCGTAGATGGCGCTGTATTACCTGTATGGAGGGATGTGTCGATAGTTTGCGCTATATTATCTGTATGGAGGAATGTGTCGATAGTTTGCGCTATATTATCTGTATGGGGTGTGGTTCGATAGATTGCGCTATATTATCCATGATTATATTGGTGACGTCAGAGTGTATGGGGGTTCTGTATAGGAGGGTGGTGTCGATAGATTGCGCTATATTATCTGTATGGGGGGTGGTTCGATAGCTTGCGCTATATTATCTGTATGGAGGGATGTGTCGATAGATTGCGCTATATTATCTGTATGTGGTGTGGTGTCGATAGATTGCGCTATATTGTCTGTATGGTGTGGTGTCGATAGATTGCGCTATATTATCTGTATGGGGTGTGGTTCGATAGCTTGCGCTATATTATCTGTATGGGTTGTGGTGTCGATAGATTGCGCTATATTATCTGTATGGAGGGATGTGTCGATGGATTGCGCTTTATTATCAGCATGGGGTGTAGTTCGATAGCTTGCGCTATATTATCTGTATGGAGGGATGTGTCGATAGATTGCGCTTTATTATCTGCATTGGGTGTGGTTCGATAGCTTGCGCTATATTATCTGTATGGTGTGGTATCGATAGATTGCGCTATAATAATCTGTATTGGGTGTGGTGTCGATAGATTGCGCTTTATTATCTGTAAGGAGGGCTGTGTCGATAGATTGCGCTATATTATCTGTATGGGGTGTGGTTCGATAGAAAACGCTATATTATCTGTATGGTGTGGTGTCGATAGATTGCGCTATATTATCTGTATGGGGTGTGGTGTCGATAGATTGTGATATATTATCTGTATGGAGGGATGTGTCGATAGATTGCGCTATATTATCTGTATGGGGTGTGGTGTCGATAGCTTGCGCTATATTATCTGTATGGGGTGTGGTGTCGATAGATTGTGCTATATTATCTGTATGGAGGGATGTGTCGATAGATTCGCTATATTATCTGTATGGGGTGTGGTGTCGATAGCTTGCGCTATGTTATCTGTGTTGATAGGTACCGTTTTATTTCATAACATGGCATCATGTAAGTCATTGAATTGCCGTTAATTATCTATCACAGTCGATGTGTCATCCATACAGAATCTATTAAGTTTGGAGTAACTCATACACCTAATCCCTGCGTTCAGTGTGATGTTGCATTCGTGTTCAACACCAACTGAAAGCAGCTCAGTGCCTTTATTTTATTGTCGTAATATCGAAATTTGTTTTATGAAACATATTTCCAAATCCATATATGCATCTGTTTAATACTAAGTAAGCCGTTTGTGGAACAGCAGCTGACTGACGTTTGAGGGATGAAGGAAATCACGAAAACGCTGTACAGTTAAACATGTTTAATACTTTATGACGTTGAAGTGTGATTGGTTTTTATGTTACAAATGGAGTATCTAAAAAAAAATCTAAAAAGATCAGAATATGGCCTTTTTACTCACGCTGATGCACGTACGTGACAGATAATACTGTTATACCGGTCTACGTATCAATGTACATTTGACATCTTAATGGGCCGTACGGGAGTGTCAACTTTTTTTAGTACGGTTATACAGTGACATCGTCCTGCTATTGTAACATGTGAATTATGCTCCCGGAATGTAGTATGTTCCAGCTCCACAGGACAACATTCTGTTTTGTTTCTTTTAACGTGACATTTATTGTCAATCTATAATAGAGACCTATATTAGCTTTGGATAAAGACGTGTTTGTATGGAGAAGGCTCGTGACCCAGTCAAACCAAGACGGTTCAGACAGACAGCAAGGCGTGGTCATTACGGTAATCACACACATTCCTGACAGCCAACTTGTCGAACAACCTCCGTAATAATGCATTTCTTTGTCATAAAACACACGCTTCTTGAGTAAATTGATTGGGCTTCCATTTAAATTTGCTGTCTGGTTCTCGTTCCTTGCAATCGTATGATATCCTGTGTAACATGTTTCCTGGAAAAAAAACAAATTCTGTCAAATTAAATACAGTTAGGCACTTCAAGTTGGACAGCTCTTCACTAATATCATTGTCTTGGTGAACGCTTCATTGTCGCGGCTCTGTCCTTCAGTCCCACACATTGGCGATTAGTGGACGCACGTATCTAAACTGAAATAGCCCAATAGTCAATTTGGTGGTTTTTGTTTAACGTCCTACTTACAACTATGGTCATTTAAGGACGTGCCAGTTTTTTGAAGGTAGATGAAAACCGGAGTGCACGGGGAGAAAAAAACACCGACCTGTGTCCAGTTCCTAACGACTACCCAACGTAGGCCTCGAGCCCGCGACCCAGTGATGGAGGGCTAGTGATCGAAAGGACGTTTAACTAATCGACTACCGCGGTCCCTCTAGTTGCTTCAACTCGTTACTTGTGTGGATCAAATGGCTATAGGTTTTGAATTTTCTCCTGTTCAAACATAACAAGCTAGAACAGTATTAAATTTGTTGTTTATATAATAATATCGTATTCTTATCTAAGTAATACCACTGACTTAGATAGCAATTACTCTAAGTCAGTGGTAATACTTAGTACATTATTGTAATTCTTCTTTCGTATTTGGCAAGCAAAATATATTTGTTTTATGCTGATGATGAGATACAGTTCGACAATACCTTTAAAATCCAATACAACATTCCAGCCGGTTATTTGTATATGTGACGAGTCATCTGGTGGTTGACTTCTTTCATGCTATGACGCAGTGTTATCACTTAATTAATATCATAAAAGTATAAGAATGGCAGAGATTGGATAAAAAGTATAATAATTGTATTGGTTTATACGTTAACTATTATTATTATGATAATGAAATGGAACACAAAAAAAGAATTTTTCCTTTATTGATGAAAATTATTAAGATCGCCCATAAATATTTTCGTCCGCATCATTAGATTGGGGTACTATTCACCAACGCTTAACGGGAGATTTAAGACTAGCAACTGATGGTGCACTTCTTCAACAGTAGTCATCTACAACTTCTTCAGTGGCAACTGGTAGTGTGCCTTGTCCACATGAACAACTTATGGTGTACCTTTTCAACAACTGGTACTGTACTTTGTCACCAAAAATCGAAGTTGTACATTGTCAACAACTAGAATTGCGTCTCGTCAACAAGGACAACTGATGTAGAACTGTGTCATCAACAACCGGAATTGTACCTCATAACAACTTTTGTGATGCGTCAAACAACATTTATGCACATCACAAATATGATATTAGTACATATTTAATTGTGAATAAAACTTGTTACAAGACACTTCATGATATAACATTATTCTAGTGGTAAGAAAATCTGAACACGTGCAAAACAATAAGCCGATCCGACGACATGAAGGGCAGAATGTGGGCAATATCGTACTGGTGGTCGACAGCGATAGAAACAGTCTCACCATAAAAGGACACATGAACACAGGACGAATTTTGTTATATTTTTGACTTTTTATTATTATAAATATGATATCTGCGAGCGAATATCTGAAGTGTTAATGGATACCGAAACCCCAAAGGAAGAGCATTATCCCCTCCAACGTGTTTTGTCACCCGCCTTTGGACTTGGTATACGATATTGTCACACACTATAGCCGGGTTCAGTAGGTCAAGGCCATGGCTTGGTATACGATATTGGCACACACTATAGCTGGGGTCAGGAGGGCAAGGCCATGGCTTGGGATACGATATTGTCACACACTATAGCTGGGGTCAGGAGGGCAAGGCCATGGCTTGGGATACGATATTGTCACACACTATAGCCGGGTCCAGTAGGTCAAGGCCATGACTTGGTATACGATATTGTCACACACTATAGCTGGGTTCAGTAGGTCAAGGCCATGGCTTGGTATACGATATTGTCACTCACTATAGCCGGGTTCAGTAGGTCAAGGCCATGACTTGGTATACGATATTGTCACATATTATAGCCGGGTTCAGTAGGTCAAGGCCATGACATGGTATACGATATTGTCACACACTATAGCCGGGTCCAGTAGGTCAAGGCCATGACTTGGTATACGATATTGTCACGCACTATAGCCGGGTTCAGTAGGGCAAGGCCATGACTTGGTATACGATATTGTCACATACTATAGCCGGGTTCAGTAGGTCAAGGCCATGACTTGGGATACGATATTGTCACACACTATAGCCGGGTTCAGTAGGTCAAGGCCACGACTTGGTATACGATATTGTCACGCACTATAGCCGGGTTCAGTAGGTCAAGGCCATGACTTGGTATACGATATTGTCACATATTATAGCCGGGTTCAGTAGGTCAAGGCCACGACTTGGTATACCATATTGTCACCCACTATAGCCGGGTTCAGTAGGTTAAGGCCATGACTTTGTATACGATATTGTCACACACTATAGCCGGGTTTAGTATTTCAAGCCCATGACTTGGTATACGATATTGAAACACACTATAGCCGGGTTCAGTATGTCAAAGGCAGAAGACGGCATACGATATTGTCACACACTATATCCGGGTTCAGTAGGTCAAGGCCACGACTTGGTATACTATATTGTCACGCACTATAGCCGGGTTCAGTAGGGCAAGGCCATGACTTGGTATACGATATTGTCACACACTATAGCCGGGTTTAGTATGTCAAGGCCATGACTTGGTATACGATATTGACACACACTATAGCCGGGTTCAGTAGGTCAAGGCCATGGACACCTTACGCAGCTTGTTATGCGGTTATTCTAAGATTAGAAAACGTTAGTAATGGATCGTAAATGGATACCTTCTTCTATTCTGAAACTGCGAAGTCTCAAACATGTTTGGACCAATAATGCTTACTAAAGAAAGAAAGTTTATACGGTGAAATAAAACCCGTTTTATTTCCTCAATTTGAAAAAAGATGAAAGAATAAAAATTATTTAGATTGTGAAATATTCAATAACTTGTATACTAAATGATATATTTTGTTTCACATCACACGCATATACCATTTCAACAAATTTTATTTCATTTAGAAAAAAAGATTGAACAACAGGCATAGCCTATATTAGTTCTCTCCTAAAGGTAACAATGAGTATATATATGTAATATAGTATGTTGTTATTTTTAAATTTCAAAGTTGCGTGTCTTAGGCAACATTTCAAATATAGCGACAAACTGGCGATATAGACCGGTGATGGTTATAACAAGTAGATTTCTGTTTTATAACGTATTTTATTCACTGATTGCGCAAATGGCGGAAGGAGTGCAATATTGTTTCCTCAAGCCTTTACTGATGACTGTACATGCTACCTATGTTAACCCGGTATTATATGTTTCATATTAAACCTGATATAAATGAAGATTGACCAGAACCTCGACAATTGGTTTTCCTCTAGCTCAACATTACTTGTTTTCAAACCCTCAGCCATCACATTAACCGCTGTCAAAGGGGGATTTCGAAAACAATGGGGTACTGACTATTCACGCAGTGGCAACTAAAGGCGTTAAATCATTGTCAATAACTTTTCAGTTATCCATATTCATTTCTCAAGATTACTTTTAATTACGTCCGATAGTTTGGTTTAAACCATTTCAAAAAATAACAATTCAGGTACATTTAGCATTTCCATGAAAGTCGTTTGTGACACATTAAACGGCTAGTATTATGTAGGAACGGACCCGGAATGTCAGCACGATACTGTTTTGATCCATTACATTTTTGTTGTATTTTGTGGTAGCATATACCAACAGATATTGTGTCTGTCGGTTTATTCTGGTAAGTTAAGGGCCCTTAAATGTTATTTAAAAAATACATATTTTCCAGATTCTTAAACTTCACGCTCTAATGTGCCATTCAATAACAAAATTTCAGATATATACCTATACAATACACTTTTATCGCACTTTTCCTAATGAATCTACATTTCTTGACAGTTACTTAAAATATGAAAAAATATTTTTTAAATCAAAGAATTTACTTTGTTTTTGTTGTAAACACTTAAAGTTGTCGCATTCCGAATCTTAATTCAAAGAAAGATAACTCGAACGTTTCTTGCTAACCGAGGTTGTTTACATTATATTTTACTGTCTAAGGACAGTCTCTGACCTCGTCATATATACTGATTTATATACAGCCATATTTGTTCGAGTTTTTACGATTTTTATCAACGGTATGTGACTAGTAGTAAAATTACTGTTCCAACAAGAGCAATCTGTAGCCTTTAGCTATATTCGATATGTGGATTTATAAACTGCATGCGGACCTCGGATATCGCCCTCAGCTAAATATTTTTCTCAAATATGTCGATAAATCGACTTTAACCAAAGGTAAGAATAGTAAAATATATTACCCTTCATTTAAATTTAAGTATAACATGCTTCATTTTCATTTTTTTAACCATATTTTTTCTTGAATTTCCATATTAAAGCTTAATGCACGAAATGTCCCTATTTCTAAATTTTAACAGACCAACTTGTACTATTGACTATTTCTATACGTTTCTCTATGCGTATGGAGATTTACGCATACAATCAACATCTCAAAGAGACATAAAATGTTTATCATTAACGGGTAAAATTTAGACAGGCTTCTCAACAAGGTCCACAGGGTGAAGCAGTAGGCATTTATTAATGGTGATCTATCACACTTCAGAAAAGATACTGACAATGTCAATACCCCGTGTTACATTGGGTCCTACAGCATCTGGGTATATGAACACACCTTGGCCTCCAGTAAACCTTGTTTTCCGTAAGTCAATAACTGTATGAGGGACCATGTATCAGGGAACCACTAAGTTGTAAGACACATGAAATAATAAAAACTCTCATTCTCAATGAAAATTTTCATTCAGAAAAAAAAGAAACTTAGCCTTTTTAATAAATAATGAGAAATATAGACACGAATTGCTCGGCGATACCTAACACGTCAAATTTGTCAATTTTTTTTTTTTAAATTTTAGATATATTAATAGTTAGACACCGCCACAACTGATGTGCTGGCAGTGTGACACATTTAATGTCCTGTGAAAGGGAGCGTGTTTAATCGCGTAGAGACAACACGTCGTGCTTCCCTACAGCAAGGATAGTAAATATATTTCATTTCAAATAAACTGCATTGTATTTAAATTATTTTATTAAAGCATACAGAGCATGTATATTCAGATAAAAGAGAAAAGCTGGAACCAATTAGATATAATATTGTTGCATATACACTGACATTATTGTTTAAACAATATTACCAGGGGCTTCACAAGAAAGTCAGCAATGCATTTAATAAAATATAATGGGACCGCATCTGGACATTTTTTGGAGTATTATTATATAAATAAGATAAAAATGACCATGAACATCCTGCTCATTAACCATGATAATTTAAGATGATAATTTAGTCTGGGAGGCAGGACAATTAGGAGATCAAGATCAGTTTAATCAGAGGTAAAGACAAAAGTGAAATAAGAATTGAAAGCGTCTGCTTTGTCCAGAATATGTGCCTTTAGTTAAACACTTCATAATGGACTTTGCAACCCGCCACCCCCTGCCTGGAGGTATTAATTTATCAATAAGTGAATTTTGTTATTTAAGTATACATCTGTGCTAAGCTTCTCTTACAAGATCAATAACTACTTTTCGCATATCTATACATGTTTGCCAGGCTACAGTAGTTTTTGTATTTTTGGCCCTTGAATATTGACGATTTCTTTTCCGTATGTAAAATCGAATATCATTATTTATCCATACTTTATCATCTGGACGAATAGTGACAAATTATGTGGTACAAATTTGTCAATACAATTATGAATTTCACTTGAAATAATATCATTCATAGTCTCGATATCAGCAGATTCATTCAGACAAATATCCCAATCAATATTAGATAGAAATATGTTAGCATTAACAAAGCAAGTATCACTGAAGGAAATAATATTGTTCTTATGTGTAGATTCTTGACTTTTGAAAGATATACTACATGTACAACTATTGGGACAGTGGTCACTACAAATTGGAGTATGGACTGCGAGATTTTGTTAAGATATTAGTATTATTAGTCCATAATAACATCAACAGATGTGATATGTTAAGACATATTTTGATTGATGTCACCAAAAAGTATATAGTCTTTGCCAAGTTCGGTTATATTGTCTAGGAACTTATTAAGTTTATTCCAGTATTCCACGACAGAGTTTGGATGCATATCAATACAGTCTATTAATAATGTTTTGTGACTAAGAGTAATTTCAATCCAAATAATTTCTAAGTCAACATCCTCTAAGTCCAATCTCCGTTTCTATATGATTTTCTGATTGGTATAGATCCGAGCTACTCCATCTCTCCTATGACGTCTGTCGTACGAACAAAATGAAGATGAGTAGATAAAGAAATATCATCATCAGCAATAGAGTCATTAAGATGAATTTCTGTAAGCAGATGATGTCATGATCAGTATATTTAAGTAATTTATATACCTTCAAACATGTTTTCTCTGTTAACTTGGGGATCTGGATTGGTATTGATATCCATTCACAGTTAAAGGAGATTGGGTCTGAAGATAAGTGTAAAGATGATATTAAAAATATTCTCTCAAAGTGACCTGAAAAGATATATCACAAACAAAATGATGATATTTGATGTTGCGTTGTACTTCACCCCTACCACACACTTGGTACAACTAGCAAAAATGTTCTTAACCATTATCAAATATGTATATATTATATGCGGCTAGTAACAGTAAATGGTAGCCATGATGCACAACAAAATAAAAATAAATCAATATTTAAAAAAAAAAAAAAGTATTATACGAAAAAAGAACAATAACAAAACAGTGAAGATGATCAGGCTTCCGCACCATTGCATAACGGTATTACCCTATTGCTTGAGGTGTGGGTCCACATATGGGAACCAACAGCTAACACCGCAGACACACAGGACAGGTATTGATAACAAACAAATATCTAATAAATATAGTGAGATATACCATATAAATTAGGGTTTAAACAAGAACTATACGCTAGAAGCTGCCCTAATACCCTGTTTATCATTCGTTCGTGTGTCTTCCCTGTAAAAGGAAGAATAGTTACTGTATACTTAATGGAGATGCGATGTTTGGACATATGATGGTGCTCAAGTCTACAATGTTAAAAGGAAACCAGATGAAAACAGAAGGAATATGTGTCCGGACAAGATTATATCGCCCGATAGAAAGCCAAACTGATTTCTGGTATATCGCCCGACCCTGGCCGAACCAGTGCCTAGCAACACGACGCAAATTAAAAATGCCGGAAAAAAACGTGTAGCCCATATTCATTGAAAAGAAAATGGCATTAATCACCGGAAAGCGCTGTTATCTCGTTACAACTTATATAAATCAGTATCAAAATATTTAAAGTTACTTTGGGATTTTTCAAGTTTGTGGTACAAAGAAGTTAATGAACAGTCGTATCCGAATATTTCACAATCCACTTGTAGTATTTGGGCGAGTTTTGTCATGTCCTCCCTGTCTACTGAACTGAAAGCCTCGGCGTACGCCTCCTGGCGGTATTGTTCTGCATGTGCCTGATCACGTATGTCACTCACAGCATTGGTGACAGCAACGACATATTCTGGTTCCGTTATGTTCCCGGCCTGTTCCCGAGTGAACGGGAATTTGGAATGCTTACTTATAACTCCTCGTATTTGAAATTTTCGCCACATTAATTTCTGTGCGATATAAAAACTAATACAAACTTTGTTTTTATAACGGAACAGTATGTCAACTTGGTCCTTGATAGTATCGCTCACAGAACTAGCCCTCATGGTTTTATTTAGAGTGTTAGCAATAACATCAAATCCTAACGACTTAACAATGTACACTGTGTCGTCCACAATCGTCTCCATCCGACCTATAATGTCGTATGTCACTTGACATGGACGACAATGATCGTGCATCGGTAAAAAATGGCCGTCTCGATGCTCATTATGTAACTTAGAATGAATTATGTATTTCACGAACTCTCTAAATGTGACGTCATATCCACAAATGTTATCCCCTGTCTTCTTTCCTTCCCTGAAATTTGAAACAATATAGGTGCCCAACGACTTCCAAAAAACTGGGTTTGGTGAGAATAATTTATCAACGTATCCTGAAAAAAGTCGAGAAAATGGATGTCTGGTGAAGATGAAACTGCGATAAGTCGAAATCATTGTGTGAATTTCATCAAAGAAGACATTTTTGAACGTTTCCTGACCACCTCCTAAGGCATTTCCAGCCGGAATGTCATACGGATTGTGAGCGGATCTTAAGCCAGCCAGGATCTGAAAGGATGACGAAGAAATTGATAGTTTGAACTCAGAAGAAAACTAGTTTGGAAAAAATGCTTGACGCTAAGCGTGCTTTGGTTTTATTTCTGAATATGATATTTTAGTCTACTTTTAAAAGAATTCAGTGAAAGAGCTTGGCTTCATTTACCTAATTCAATATTGCTTACTTAAATAGATATTGTATATTTGGAAATGAAATTTGTTTTGTTTCTGTGTTGTCTTGCAATGGGGTATACCTGCCAGAGTCGTCTCCAGAACGTCGACCCAACCTTCTCCATTGCACAGTATATGATGCGATGCTTCCGATCTACTATAAAGTGGTCTTTGATGGAATTTTGTGAGCTATTCCCCCTAAATGCGGGGTCAAAGTCACGTCCCGCACATGCGTCCAACATCGTCTTTCGTCGCTTGGCGTACAGCTTGTTCAGTTGCATGTGTGAATCAGGACTCTGGAAAATATGTTCCATATACGTTGATAAGATTGCGTCACTTTCAACATAATACTTAATTAAGTGGATTAGTCGTCTTTAATGAATGGCTGATCTAGCAGTACTAACATTTATACCTTTTGTCTTCTTTATTTTGGTGTTGTTGTGGTTTTTTAGGGGTTTTTATTCATTTTCAATTTTTTTACATGACATGAAACAACACATATGGTACATGATTATTGGTTAAGCTCTTAAAGCTTAGGGGTTGTTGCTAATTAATTCACTATGAATTAATATTTATCAAGCGTGTACCTATATACAGAGACAAAAAATAATTCACACACGGACACACCTACACTTACAGTTACAAACCCACACAAATTAATATATAAATAAATTATTAACAAATAAAGACAAAAATCAAATGCACATAAAAGACAATTTTTTGGTGTTGATGTCATGAAGTAATATGGACAAGACGAAAGAGTAACTGAATGTGACTCTTCAGAGTAGATGGATTTATTAAAATTAGATTTCATCAGCTCGCACTTGGTAACTCAGTAAAGATGTTTAGTGAACTTATCAAGAGTGTTATAGTTACAAATTCCGAACGAGGACAGAAATATGCGTGTAAATGTGTGATGTTGGTCTACAATACCATACAAATAGAGGCCACAGAGATAGAACCTGTAACAACTAGAGCAGACTCATCTAATTAACAACTAGAGCAGACTCATCTAATTAACAACGAGAGCAGACTCATCTAATTAACAACGAGAGCAGACTCATCTAAGTAACAACTAGAGCAGACTCATCTAATTAACAACGAGAGCAGACTCATCTAATTAACAACGAGAGCAGACTCATCTAAGTAACAACCAGAGCAGACTCATCTAATTAACAACTAGAGGAGACTCATCTAATTAACAACTAGAGCAGACTCATCTAAGTAACAACTTGAGCAGACTGATCTTATTAACAACTAGAGCAGACTCATCTAATCAACAACTAGAGCAGACTCATCCAATTAACAACTAGATCAGAGTCATCCAATTAACAACTAGAGCAGACTCATCTAATTAACAACTAGAGTAGACTCATCTTATTAACAACTAGAGCAGACACATCTAATTAACAACTAGAGCAGACTCATCTAGTTAACAACTAGAGCAGACTCATCTAAGTAACAACTTGAGCAGACTCATCTTATTAACAACTAGAGCAGACACATCTAATTAACAACTAGAGCAGACTCATCCAATTAACAACTAGAGCAGACTCATATAATTAACAACGAGAGCAGACTCATCTAATTAACAACTAGAGCAGACTCATCTAATTAACAACTAGAGTAGACTCATCTTATTAACAACTAGAGCAGACTCATCTAATCAACAACTAGAGCAGACTCATCCAATTAACAACTAGAGCAGACTCATCTAATTAACAACGAGAGCAGACTCATCTAATTAACAACTAGAGCCACCTCATCCAATTAATAACTAGAGCAGACTCATCTAATTAACAACTTGAGCCACCTCATCCAATTAACAACTAGAGCAGAATCATCCAATTAACAACGAGAGCAGACTCATCTAATTAACAACTAGAGCATGACGTAAGCCTGTACTTTGTTACAATATACATCCACCAAATGCATTAGAAAAAATGCCGATCCAATATTGTATCATGCAGAAACTTTTAACCTCTGTAAAGTTTTCTTTATGGCAGTGTAACGGTGATTGCCATTTGTAATGAGAGCAAGCTATTGGTAGCTACAACAGCCTGCTTTGTTTTACACGTTTAGCATGGAGGATGGTGATATAGATTGTGGCGAAGTCGAACGTTTAGCATAGATCTATGACTGAACATTATCTCGTGTCTTAAAAGTGTCGATTTAAGGAGGATTACCAAAATAGTTCGATTAACCGAGATGTTAGCGGAAGCAGTTTTCATAATAGTATTTGCATAAAACACTTTGTCAGATGAAGACAGCAGGATAAAGAAAATCATGATTTATCTGTATGACTATAGATTAAACTCATTCGGGAAGAGTGCCAGAACTTCGTCTCGCTTCGTTAGTTTTTCTAGCATAGTCGTCGACAGCATCTTTTGATATTCTGGGTCGTTAGCAGGTGTGTTATTATCAACAATGATGAGGGCACTTGAGTAAGTATCTTTCCTTAGGTCATCTAACATAAGATTCTAAAGCGTCCATTTATAGTTTAAAACTTCAGATGAAACAGGCAATGATAAGTGTTTACACATTTCAAGACATCATCTTAGAGCAATATGTTGTGATATAAACTGTCATATTTGTCATATAAAAAGGATTGAGTTAGAGAAAGTATTGATCAGTTAATAACAGTAACCAGTCATTACATATTTAAACAAGTCTTGCGTACCCTATTGAAAGGTTGCAGATGTGTGCGTTATGCGGTGTTTTACTTAAATAGTGTCTCCCAATAACCCTCATGTTATCTGTGGTAAAGGTGTACTCAGACTAGATATTTTTAATGAGTGATAAAGTTTCTCTAGAATATATACCTTTCTCTCATTTCCCTGTGTGTAAGATAGAACTGTCCAGGGTAAGAAAGGGGTGTAGGAAATTTCTATCATACACCCCATTTCAGGTCACGTGACGTCACAACGGCTCGACAATGACGTGACGTCACGAATTTGGATTTCTCCGATGCCGCAATGCGGAAAAGGCGACATGATGAAATTAAACATCTTTTACGATATATTTACCGTATACGTTAGAAAGATATGATTAATTTTCCTGCTCAAACTCTGTTTGCCAATATTGGATGATATGCTAAATCCGGCTGGCTGATTCGTTTTCGTCTAAAAAGCTCTAGAGGTAAATTGATATTTTCAAAATGGTGGTCGGTCCAAACGCATTTTCATGGTTTCTGAGCTTATTCTGGTGGTTGGAATGAGAGAAAATACTCTTTCATGACCAAGGGTGTAGGATAGGGAAATTCCACTCTCGGGATTTTCAAATTTGGCAAAACCCTCGGCTTCAAATTTGAAAACCCTTGGGTGGAATTTCCCTATCCTAAACCCCCGAGCATGAAAGAGTCTTATATTATTAACACAATATAGAATTATCTGGAAAATTGAAATGTTGGTTGAAATTTCGGTAACCAATTCGAATCGATGGAAATTAAAGATATTGAGAATTTGATATTAAACATGGACCCGTGTTATGTCGTGTTTTTAAACATTTAAAAAATACATGGCCCCGGTTTCATCAACGTTCCTTAACTTAAATGTTTCCTTAACTTAAAATCGCTAAGGAATTCCTTAGCTAAGGTTTTCCGAAAAATGCGTTTCATGAACGTTCCTTAACTTAACTAAGGAGCTCCTTAGCTAAGGAAAAAATTCCTTAACTTTTTCGCAGCCTAAGCGGTGTGGTAGGTAAATCTTGTACCCCGTTCCCGGACCCGGACTGAAACCCCGTACCGGGAATATAAAGATATTTTAATATCTCATTAACGCGATGGTTTATAATTTCTATAAAAATATAGAATAATTTCAAACATTATTTTCTAAATGTGACAATTACAAAAATGTCTTATTATTATCTAATAATTAAGAAATCGACGATAATGTGTTTTTCAAGGGGGTAAAACTTGTACGCCGCAGTCAACCGTGAAAATCACGGTTTTTCACATATAAGTAGACATATAGGGAAAATTAACATGTTATATTCAGATATATAGAAGAAAATACCTTACTGTATATAACTATGTAAGTTTCGTTGAAATAAACAACATATTTCACATGAAATTCTGACTTTGTTGTGATCGCGGGTGTTTTGTTTACTCCAGTACCCGTACTAAGGGGACATAACTCTGTCAAGCTGTCGTTATCAAGTAGAACTCTTAGCCATTCTATTA